TAATACACATTGTCTAGATACTTGCCATTTGAGGACCCTAATAACAACGGAATTCTACTAAGAGAAATGCATGGTTTTGCTGATGTGAACATTCTAACGCCAAGTTTCTTTGCACAATCATGTGTTCTTTTTTATTGAAAAGAAGAACCTGCAAATAAAAATATATGAGTAATGAAACTGACCTATTAGCATGGTGTGTGGTTAAAAATATCCTGTTTTCTTTGCTGCCTTGGAAGCCTGTTTTTCTGGACTCATACTTAAAAAAACTGTCTTGTGTATCTGTTTGCAATACCCATGTTTGATGAACACAATGAGACATAATTTACATGCTAATACAACAAACCAGATGTAGAATAGATCAGCTTACATGCAGAGCAGCTCAAGATCTGATCTCTCCACAAGGATCTCACATACTTCTTGTAGGTGATATGTCACTATTTCCTATAAATTGCTGCCAAGCTACCTTTTTTAAAAATTTCATCTCTTATCCTTTTGTATGCAAAAACCTGATTAATTTTTCAGGTTCAATAATTTTTTTTCACAAAACTAAATCTAAGCATTAGCTGATTAACCACTGATAAAACAGGTTTATTATTTAGCAAATACAAAACACTTATTATCTGTCTTTGCTATTGAAAGAAGGTGGTGTGGGTTTTTTATTAATGTTTTTGTCTCAGAAATTTTGGGAGCACTCAGTTGAACTTTTGTAAAACTATTTGCTATCACATTACACCCGTGGATCAGCACCACAGAAATTCCTAACAGCAAATAGGATTTAAAGTGTATACTGATGGTAAATTTGCTAAAAACTTACCTTAAGGACTCATAAGCAAGTCATCACTAGCACTGATCTCTTTATAAACATTTTGTTTCGGGGGACTGAAGCGTGTGTTGCCTGAAAATACCAAGAGATCATTTATACACACACATCATGCATTGACAAGTCTGTCCTGTTCTCCATTCTAAAACAGCAGCTCCTAAACCATAATGTAAAAATCAATGTAAAAGGATAGAACATGAAGTCCTGCTGCTTTCAGAAGATGGGGATGCTTTTTGTAAGCATGAGTGCACTATATTTTTGTTTAGCTTTACCCTCTGCTTTAAAACTTGTTCATATTTTGTTAACTCACTATTAGATAGTGAGCTAGCACTCATCCACATTGATAATCTCTGTCCCTACTCTCTTGCAGGAAAAAATAAGTTCAGCCTGAAGATGTAGAGAACACTGAGAATGTTCCTGCCACTACCCTTATTTCTATAATTTTATTATCTGTTAAGCATTTCTGCTTTTTAAGAGCATTCTGTGTTCTATGTTAGAGAACAAGAGACATCTTTGATTTCATTAGAACCTGGTGATACTAGGATTGGTCTCAAGGGCATGTGCCCCAGATTTATGAATGCTTCTGTTCTAGATTACTGTTGAAAACTGAAGTTGGTTCTGAAATCAAAATATCACCTAACATTGGAAGAATTTGTCTTCCTTTTAGCTATTATAAACACAATCTAACTGTTCATCATATGATAGAGGAAGCTATTTTGTGCACTGGGCCCACTTGCCTTGCTATTAAGAAAAGATATCCTCCTTATATTGCTGGCCTGTCTTCTTGAATTCACACTTCCTTCCTGGCTCTGTTGCTTCTCCAAAAAGATTAAGTGAAAAAGTCTTTCTTCTACTCTACATGAGCTTTAGTCAGTCAATATACAATAATACAGCACTTCATCTATTTCTAGGGTATTATTTTACATCAGGGAACCACAGGAAAATAAACCAGCCAGAAAGAGATGCAGAGCAAAACAAAGTAACAAGTCAGCAAAAATACAGCATGCAACACAGGAACACTGGTGAGGTAAGGCAAACTGTCAAAGCTGAGGTTACTACACTGTGCTCAGTCTCAACAGCAGCTCAGTCTTTTCTCTGGACAAAATTCAGTGATGTTTCTGAAATATAAAATTAAAACATTAAGAACACCTGAAATTCTCCATTTTAGCTGAGAAAGGCATTCATGCTGTAGAATTTCCATCTTAACCCCTTTGGTAGTTGCTCCTCCTAGGCACCAGATAATTAATTATCCATTTGTACTCCTATGAGGATAAACCTTTTCCCATTTCAAAATTTTGGAAAAGAGAAATTACACAGATGAGGATCAAGTACACTGACATTTTTTCACATTCAGTAATTGTGTTATCAAAGGTCATGGTGAACTTTTGGCTCTAAAACGATGGTTTGATGAAGTAACAAACGTGTGCTTGCTGCTGTCTTTTAACACATGCTTTTTGAAGCACAAGGCCAACATTAATGGAAATAAGCTGAAGAAAGAAATGCCACTATCTCTGCCCAATTATGGTGCTAAAAGTTCTGTTTGTTTGAAGTGGACAGGGAACCTGAACCCTGCAAGTGCAATGATTATAGCCATAGGCTTCATTATGGAAACAAGAATGTGAATGCAGAGACCTTTTAAGAGATGGACCTTCAGTGACCAAAGTACTGAAAACATCTGTCTAAAGAGACTGTAAAAAAACCCCCAAAAATGAAACAACAAACCCACCACCATCCTACCAAAGCCAACCCTTTTAAGTATAAAGAGTATTCTAATGTGCTGATATTCCAGACCTAACTTTGTTTTGTCTATATAGCTTTTTGGGAAGATCTTTCTAAGATAAGCATGGATTAAACAGACATTTAACTATAATGAACACAATAAAATAGAAAGAAGGTACTGGAAGAGAAGCCAGAGTGTCAGGTAAACTGAAATAGATAAATAACAAAAGCAAAAATAACCCAGTCAAAGTCTGGTTTTGCAATCAGTTCCCCTGTTATATGATGCAATTACACAGAAGTAAAGGTGTGAATATATTCAAAGTAGCTCCTCTGTAATTGCTTTGGTAACAATAATACTGAAGATACTGTGCTGTGACTTGGCACAGACTAACCACATGTTTACATTAAGTGAGGCCTCCTGGTAGATGCTACAGAAATATCCAAAATTAAGAAAGCAAGCACAGTTCAAGGGATAAATCAAGCACTCATACACTTTTGGGGGAAGAGGAACATAAATAGCCTTTTACTCCACTAAAATTAACAACCCTATTTTCCATCCCAAAGAGATGGGTTTCAAAAACCAGCAAAAGACACCATAATTTGTTTAAAAACAAGAAAAAAAAAGAGGAGAAACAGAAAAAACAGATACAAAATAGAGAGGGAAAGGCTGAAATTAATTTTATTTAACAACACAAAAGAATTAAGAAGGGAAGTATACTGAAATAAAGAAAAGCAGTGAAGGAAAATAAGGAAAACCATCACTTTAATATACTGTAAGTACTTATTTTACTATTGCCTTTTTCTGCAACATTTTACTGATGATGTTTCATGGATCATCAATAAAGTAACACTATAAAAAACCTCTAGAATCCTATTTCCTTCTGGCAATTGTGCTAGATTGACAGTAACTAGTCCATGAAAAAGGGCAACCAGTTCAGCTGAAGATTTGATGCAAGAGCGAAAGGGGGAGGAAAAATTAAAAAAAAGGTGAATAATATTGTGTTAAGTCTGAAAGGAACACCAAGTGAAACAAATGAATAAGAATTATGGAAACCAGTATTTCCAAAGCAAATGGACTACTTCTCTTGCCAAGAAGATAGGGCATTTGACAGCTAGTAAGACAGCAAGGCATTCAGCTTCCAAACACCAGAAGGTGAGAGTTAATATTACACGCATGAGCCACAAGCATACGGCTGGCTTGTTTTTATTAACACTAATAAATGATCTCATAATACTGATCAGAAGTGGGTTTTGTTCCTCCACATATCTCACAAAAAATTTTCAGGTGACAAGTACTATGATACATATGGTAGAAACAAACATCTGTGGCCACAAAGATGTTTTGTTAGCTGATGATTAATATATTCAGGAAGCAATCACACTATTCATTAGTAAAAGTTTACAAACATTAAAAAGTGCATAACATTTGAAACCAACAACACAAAAATATATATAATATATATATACTATATATAAAGTGACATCACCTCCTATTAATAAAAGAAAACAAATCTTCTGACCTTGTGATTGGTGCTTGTGTGATTGCCATGGTTTACTATCAGTCACTCTCTTCACTCACCTTAGTCACACAGAGGTGTGGCTGCCCCATTTTGCAGCATTCAGCCTCATGAATGGCCTTGTCTATTGGGGCAGGACAAGGGGGAAAAACAAATCAATCAGCAATAGCTACTGCAGAACAGGTTATTAATCTGTAGGTATTTTAAGTGATGTCCTGGATGGACAAGCTATCCTGGTATTTTGATGAAGGCCCAGTTTGGACTGCCATTTTGGAATAGATGAAATGGGAAAAAATCTAGTCTTTGGGTGCTAGATGCCAAGTCTCTCACCTCCCTTTCCAACTCCAAGCCACAAGGCTACTGTAGCAGATTCTAGCACTTGGCTGTTCAGGTGCATCAGTAGCAGGCTACTGGCTGTGCAAACCCAACAGCCTGATCAACTGAGGCAAAGGCAAGGAATAGTAAAAATTCAACCCCTTGCTGGATCCAGCCCGGGAGCCACTCATTGGACTACACTGCATTCTAAAATTCCTTTCAGAATACATACTTGGCAATAACCTATGCCAGTTATTTTCCCATGTGTAAACAAGGCCTATCTTTTACAATGTGAATCAGGAAAACCTCTAGCACCATGGAATTAGTTTGAATTTTAACCCATATAAGGTTATAAATGTATTCTTAAAACTACCATAACAATAAAATACTTGGAATAACATTTTAAAAAAATATCTCAGAGAAAGATTAAGAAATTGGGACCAAAATTAGAAAAATGGGGAAAAATAACATAAAAGATTCAATTTGAGTCTCTGATATGCAACTAACTACAGGCGAGTGGCAAAACTGTACCAAGGACACAACACACGCTCAAGTATTCACATTAACAAATCGTTTTGAAGGCTCATCTAGTGACAAATTCGAGTGTTGCTGAGTCATTCAGGTCAATTTAGCAGTTGATGTTTAGATCTATCATGTGCACATCACCACCTTATGCAAAAAACCAGCCCTTTCAAAACGCGTGGTAGAAAAATTCACAGTAACAGAAATATTCTTCATAAGCAGTTGAGAAGGGGCAGTGTGGAGCATCTAAGTTGTACAATACAAAAACCATTGTAAATAACAGAGCTGTAAAACAGATGCAAAGGTCTAAAAACAGTGCTTTCTTTACAGTTCTTATAATGGGCAAACACTTTGGCCAGAGAATTTTAAACTCTGAGGATCACACAAGCCTTTGCTTAAGATACACAATTAGATCCTCTGATGCTTCAAAGGCCATTTGCTACAAGATTTACCTGTTCTACTTTCTAAAAGTGTTCCCATCGAGTAGTCATTATGAAGGGATCCATCTGATGACACTATCCCAAAAAATCAATACATGTTCAACCATTGCTAATGACAGAGGTAGAGAAAATTCTGTCTTCTGTCACAGCTTGTACCCAGATTTTTAGCATTGTGTTGAGTGGGTTCCAGCAGTGAAGACACATGCACTTTCTTTTCTACCAGCTTGCTCATGGAAACGAATTTGTTCCAGCACACTCCTGTAGCCTGAAAACATCCAGCAGCTGCTCCACTCGGTCAAAGTTGGATGTCAGCTTTCTTGCTTTGCTGCCTCCCCTTGGGCCTCCCCAGTTTGCTCACTTGGATTTCGCTGTGCATCTCCTTCTCCTTCTACAAAACAGGAAAAAAAGATGAGTAATCCACCCTAAAATAAAGAGAACCCTGATTGTTCATCCATCAGCTTGAAAAAAAAAGTAAAAAGAAATTGAAACTGAAATATGAAACTCCTCACTACTAAGATAGCTATACTTTGTTTTAGGAAATGTCTCTTGACATGCAAATTACTAGCTGCAATCACAAGTATCACTAAATAAATACCAAATGTAGCTTAAAATTAATGACTTTAACAAAAACAGTAGAGTATTTTTGAAAATTTCTTCATTATGATGCTATAACAGTGTAAGAGAAAAAACCTCATTGCACCAATCTGAACAGATACTGCTACAAAGAGATGCAATTTCAATAAAAACAAGAGTTTGTTAAAGCTGCTTTAGTTCTATGCATCCATTTTCAGCATCATGTCCATGGTGTTCAGTCCAGCTGTCTCACTACAAACCACAGAATGACCTGAGGAACAGCTCACACCCTACAGAGGCACAGTGAGCGGGCAACTCACAGTCTGTCTAAAGAAGGCCAAGAAAAGCATTGTTCCATGATTTTACTATCTATATGCAAAGTATTGTATTTTACATAACAGGTTCAGGCAACAGGAAAGTGAGTGCAAGTGAGACACAAGTCCCTGAACATTGGACTGATCAGCCATAGATACACAACAATGAATAATGTTAAGACATACATGTCTCATGTATGTTGCAAGGATTCTGAGTAATTTCTACTGAAATGGCGTGATAAGGGAAGAAAATTCCATGGCTAGGCTTTAAGGAGGTTTAGATAGATGTAGCAGTGCCTCTTAATTTTAATCTATAGATCTTTAGAATGAAGATAGGGTTCTCAGTGCAGATATTTCTTGTTTCCTTCTTTCAGATCACATGGTGCATCTCCAGATTTATTTCTGTTTATAGAAATAAGCATCATAAACGCCTTCTCTTTTCTGTGTAGAAGAAAGGGCACACTGGTAGGGGAAAAAAGTTCTTTGCCTTGCAAAGAACATTGCAAACAGCTTAGACATGACAGCTGTGTTTTGTGCATGCACTGAGTAGGCAGGAAAATGCCACAAAAGATACTGTGAACTATCACATTCAACCTGATAAAAAGTTGCATGGAAAGTCGATTACCTATTAAACAGTGAGGTTTGTTCAGTTCATTATGGGTTGAGTAGTAAATAGACAATTGTCTTACAAGGCACTTTCCCAGAAAACTCTTTTTCACTTTCACCTCTCAAATTAGAAAGGATTCCATCAGGATGGATCCACATGTGATTATTTATTATTAGACAAAAATCCCTTTTGCCCCAGTTGTCTAAACACTTTCTAAAAACCTCCTACATTTGTTCTAATACTGCAGAAGATGCGATGAGTGTCATTTCAGGGGGTCATTTCTTTTCTGCCTGCTCTGCCCTCCATTTATTCTGACTACTACTACGTGGGCAAGCCAAACTTTTGTGGTGGTAATCTTATTAACAAAAAGAATAGGAAAAATGTCCCACTGAAGAGCAAAAAACACTCTTGCAAGGTATTTGTGTTTAAAAGAAAAATCACTCTTGGACAAAAAGCCCAAACATTGTTAAACACAGAGCACAGAGACCCAGGGAAAGAGCACTAAGGTTCTAATATACCACTTCTTGAAAGATTCTTCTCAACTCGCTGAAAAAACTCATTCATCTAAACCCATTTAATCTATAATACACTATCTCAGTACCAGCTTTTTCTTTCTACTGGCAGAGCTCTCCTACCAAAGGCTTTAAAATATATTTACAGAGATAAATTTGCTTTTAAGTTCTGAGAATCCCAAAACTACTAAGCACATGGCTGTTCTTCCTTTAAAACCTGATGGTTAGAAACTCTCAAGAGCAAGACTGTAATTTTTACACAGCATTTTGAAACCATCAGGCAGTATTAAAAAAAGAAACAAAACTAAATAATACAATACTCTGAGTCACAATACAGTTGTGTGAGTAGGTCAGCTGGCTAGAATAACCAGTCTTGCTAATGTACAGCTTTTAACTCAATTTTCTTCCTGTAACATTACTGACTCTACAGTGTCTATCACTATTCCCTCTGCTTACACCCAAAACATTTCTACCATCGACTAAAATCAATTACTTTCACTCACTAATTTCTACAGCCAGTTCTTCATTCGGGTTATGTAGGTGTTTAACACCCTATTACCCCCATTATTTGTAGATGCTTGGACCACTACAATTTTTACAAGGAAATGTCGTTTTCTGTGTTCTATAGCACCTATAAAAGCAGCAGTTTGTTTTAGACATTAGATCTGCAGAGACTTGTCATTCTTCATTGTACTTTTACCTCACTACTTCATTTAGCTACAACCTGCAAGACCAAGTTTCTTGGATTGTACTGGTTACCTTGAGAGTGTTGAGCAGGAGAGCTACCTGCTGATTTCTGTGCTAAATATGTTTCTTTTGCTTCTGAACTTATGAGTTCTATCTGTCAGATGTACATAGTGTTGCTTTTACCTAATTTATATAAAACATGTTGACACAAACCTTGGAACCTGTATTTTAGTGTTTGGTAAATATATCCATTCCATAGATAATAACAGGTTGTTAGCTTGCTATGGACAAAGAAAACTGGGACAGTTGTTTTGAAGGGAGAGTGCCATACAGTAATTATACTTATTATACATAATTATGCAGTAAACTCTTGATTATCTGTAGTTGGCTCATTGATGAGGGGATTAACCAACACTCACCTCAGGTATCAGCTACTGAGTAACAGAAAAATACATTGTCTTTGAACAAGTCTAGTGCTGTTAAAAGCTGTTCTGGTTTTTTACAGGAGACTTATCTGCAGGCTTTCCATAGTGAATGTACTAAATATGCCTGGGTAGTTTAATTTACATATGTTTTATAACTACCTTTTTTTTCCTTTAACATCTGCATTATCCTACTCTGCCATTACTCCATGCAGCTGAAAGCAAACACATTTGCAGTTTTGCAAGAAAATGCATGCAGCTGTAAGAGGAATAAAAGGAAGGAATCGAAACTTGATGTCTATATTTATATAATTAAGATGTACTTAGCATAAACTGTTTGACATGCACCTTGAAAGAAATAAGATATAGCCCCCAAATGTGTTTTCTTCTTAATCCTGTCAGATGTGATGCACATATGCATCCTACAAGTATTAATATATTCTGAACTGGGATTTTAAATGCAAAATATTTTTTAGCCTCTCTTGATTTGGAATGACATGAAGTGATAATACTCACATGAATACTAGGTAAGACAATGCCTTTTTCCAGTAATTTTTGGAGGCTTTTACTTGGCCCCTAGTTGTACTAATAATGCAGAATTTAAATGTGTTTTCATTTTATCTAATGGAAATTGAATAACCTTCTGAAGAAGTATGCAGATGTTTCTACTATCTAAGGTAATTTTATGAACAGCTCTGTATGTTTTTCTGTATTGATTAAGTTACCTGGGCTTCAAAAGGGATCATCAAGAAGAACTAGAGAGACTCTTGAAAACACATTTCTGGCTTATAAGAACTCCACTGTTTAACTTAAAAATAGGGACTGTTTTTATTTTCTAAATGGACAAGATCAAAGAAGATTTTGATAAGTGTAAATTAGAGACTGAATGTTGGCATTGTGCCATTCAAATAGCATCTACTTTTTATTTTTCCAATATTTTACACCTGTCCCCACTAAAATAAAATGACACACCTACACACATAAAGCCTTTTTTGAACAGAAATAAACTAAAGGCCCTGCCCAGCTAGAATTGCAGGCATATAGAATCTCTAGGTCGCAAACTGGCAAAAGGAATGACTTAGGATGTACATGAGTCCAGAAGCCAAAAAAAAAAAAAGCCCTCCTTCAAAACAGCACTACAACCACCTCAACACCATGGTGCCCACATGTGACTGTCCTGTGAAGAGACTCCCTCTCAAAACTCATCTTGATCTCTGAGAAAAGTATGTGCACAAACAGGGCAGCTGCTTACCAACAGTTTCTACTTTGCTGCATTTATTATCTTCTGCTAATATTAAAATAAGTAAAACCATGCCTTCCCTAGCATCTGAAAAGGGCTTTCTAATACCCGTAAGATCTATTCATTAGCTGCTACTCATCTAACATAAAAATAAATACCCAGTCATACTACTATTTTTATTTCATGTAAGGTCCACTCTCCCTCCCTCCTCTCAACTGAATATGCAGAAGCTTTTAAAAATGTTGGTAATATTAAAGATTTAGGATTGCATTACTGCTTGTCATCTTAAGAGAAGGACAAGCATCAGCAGAAAAGAGAAAGAGACAATTTACTCAGAAACAAAGATCCAGGTAAAACAAACACTAATGCATTCCTATTGCTCTGTCCTTTGGCAGCTAAAAAAAAGTTTATTTCACAACAACCTTTCAGCAGACATATGGTTTTTCTTACAGGCCTCAAGTCAGATAGATACACAAAAGGATATTATGCAGACTTGGGTTTTAATAAAAACTTCCCTATTTTCTTCCTTATACTCTAATTTTTATAAAATTTATCCTGATTTGGACCCTGCCACTAGACACTCACTGCAGAAGAACTTTTTTTTATTCAGGAATGTGTTGTACTTGCAAATAACCACCCTTTCCATTATGAAGTCAGTGATTCTTATTGCAGGCAACCCATGTTTATTAGAAAAAAAATAAATTTCTTCTGCTAAGGAACAAGGGAATAATGTGGGCACATAAACCATGCTTTGTGTACTAGTTCTCATTTTAGTTTTAAATAAATACAATAAAATCCCAGAATATACTTACCTGTTTTGTTTATATCAAGCTCTGATAACTTTAAGGCTAGTTCACTAGAGTTCCCACCCGGAGAGGACACAAGGATGTCATGTAATGCATTTCTTCTACCTGTTCTTCCTGAAGCAATAAAGTCTGCATATGTAGATTCCACATCAGTCATTGCTAACAAATATCCACATAGCAGTACCTGGATGGCAGGAAAAAAAGAAAAACAAGAATCACCACGTAGACCACCAGAAAACCAGATGACTTCATGGATTAGGAACAGAAGTTCCCATTACAGGGTAGATTGACACATCTTCTTTTAGACTTTGAGACTGGTTAGCCAGACTCAAAATTTGGAGAAATTAGAGAAGAAACTGAGTAGAAAGTAAAAACACTGCGTGTATTTTATGCCAGCTGTATTCAACAGTATTTTAACCAACTTCATTTTCCATGCTTCATAAAGTGATAGTGAGTACTTTATAAAAGCAATGACCTCAGCAACATAATTTCTTTACAGAGTTGTCTTTGCTTTTAATATTAGCTGAGATGTAGGAGGTAGGCAGGGGGTGGAACAAAGTTCTTTTCTACAAAAAGCAGAGTGTAACGAGTAAGAAAGTACAAATTGATAATGCTTTTGTGAGCAGAATCCTGTGCTCATACACAAGACACTGTTTTGTTTTGTATATTTTCTTTCCCGTTGGTATTAGTTTTGACATTGTATAAAGACCTTTTCAGACTCAACTAATTTTGGTGTGGTAGGTTCCCTGATGCAAATGTGTTACCATAATGCTCCTGAAATGAGGGGAGATGTGCTACCAGAGCAAGCAGAATAGCTTAACTAGACTGTAGAGGTTTGAAAGCAGTGCTCTGTAAGCTAGGTATAATCTCAGAACTTCTTTTCATTAGAAAATAATTATTTCTTGTGTCATTATGGAATAAAGTGATGATGTGCATTAATGCAAGATCTGACAAAGACACAGGAAATACAATATGCTATTTCAATCTCGGGAACAGAAAGAACTGCCTCTCTGCTGCAATATATGCTACAGATCTAAGCTAGCAGAATTTTATTTTCTTAATTTATAAAATGTTAAAGAGTATGGGGAGGAGCACTTTCTCTCACTGATCACATTGCTTTTACTGTAGTTTAATGTGTACGTGTCTAGGGTTTCCTGCAAAATGCTAGGCAACCATGCTTTCCCTCATGTTTTATGTTTCCATGTCATAGGGGAATCAGGGAAGCTGTCTGCTAGAGGAGTACTTAAGAGAAGAAACACTGCAGAACTACTCAACCAAAGCAGCTCTCCCACAGTTGTATGCCTCCTTCATTTTAAGCAGAATTTCTCTGGTTCTGCACACTGCAGACAGAGGATATGGCCATGCAGGCAGCAACTCACAGCTGCCTACAGCAAGAGGCTTTAGCTGTTATTACTAAAGTGGCCAAAACTTCATATTGGCATAGAATGGATAAATCTTTCTAATCAGTTCCTACTGCAGGTGCTGGACACTGAAGCAGCTCTTGAAGTCATCACAAACATTAACAGCAGCTAAAGGTTCAGCTTTCTCTCTTCAAATAAACAAAAAAAGCCCTCATTTTTTATAAACACTTTTTATTTTAAAAATAGATACAAAAAAGACAACAGCCAATCCTCTTCCACCCTCACCTCTGAATAACTTTACAAACCCTGTTCACTCCTCATCTTCATTCCATTCCTCACCTCCCCAGATTCAGTCAGCTGTATGAGGGTGTATGTATGATGTGTGTGAGAAGCCAAGAAAAGAGCTCTACACCATATTTTATTTAGTCTAAATATAACTACATCAAGTATCATTGCAAGACTGACTGGCTTGGAAAGAAGTTCACTGCTATCAAGCTTTGGTGTCCCAAGCCAAACACTGAATGGCTGACAGGCTAATTTTACTCTTAGGATCAACCACTATGATACAGGAAACCGCTTTAAAAAACCAAACCAACAAAGAAATAAAAACTCCAATCAAATCAACAACAACAACAAAAAAAAAAACAAAACAACTCACAAAACCTAACACCACCACCTAGGGAGGGAAAAGAGGTCAGCATTGACTGAAAGCCTGCCTGACACACATAAATCGTGCAGTGCCTTTGTTTAATAACAAAAGCTTGCATGAGAATGAGACCCCATGCATTTCTTCCTCTGAACTGCCCTCCTATTTAAACACTGCAAGAATATTGAAGCAAGTGAGAAGTCTACCATTTGTTCTTTGCCCAAGGTGCAGACACTGCAATGCGAAATACATCAACCATGTAGTAATGCAGCATGTAATTTGCAAAGGTTCAGGGAAACAATGAGGACAGTTTCTATAAGAAAACAGCACAAGTTTTCAGACTTAGCTGACCCATTCACTGAATAGCATTCACCAAAATCAGAGACTAAAAGATTTTAAACAGAAATCCCTTATATTTGTGCATCCTTTTTATTGCAACTGGCTTGTAGAAAAAGAAGTGCAAACCATGAAGCAATCAACAGTATTACAGGCTTGGATTTCATATCAGTGTAGGACCTGTCCAAAGTCACCGTAGCTATCACCCCCGTGAAGACATTAATTTATTTTTAGTATAGAAAAAAACACCACAGAGTTGTTTTCTTCATTGAAAGGTGCATATGGAGTGCATCAGGCCGAGAATAACTAGAGAAGACCATTACTGAGGTGGAACAAGCTGCAGGGCTGTAAGACTTGCAAAATAATCCAGGTTGTACTCCATGAGAAATTCCCTGGATGTACAAACTGCACTCCACTCCACAGAATATGCTTCTGTGAGATAATACTTCTCTTGAAACATTCCATAAAAATGGATAATACCAAGGGAAATCCCAAGCTTATTTAGTTTTAAAACAAGCTATATTTATTTAGCTACAAAACAAGCTATAAAGGCATGGAAAAATGTGCTTGTAGAGAACTTTTTAAATGTTCATTTTCTGTATGCTCAATATGGTATTACTAACAACATTCTGATAAAAAAATAATGTTATCAAACACACATTTATGACACTTCCAAATTTTCCTGTCTGTGTCTCCTCCTAAATAACAAATACCATTCTGTTTTGTATTGGCATTATCTTGAGACATTACTGCATAAATATGGAACTACAATGATATCACTCAAGAGCTCCTCTTCCAATGAATGGCTCAGTGCCCAGCAGTTTGTACTTATTCACTGAACCAGTCATTAAGGAATTAACATTCACTTCAAAACAATCTTTTTTCCCCCTGCAGTCTCTGTGCCAGGAGTGGAATTTGCTAATAACTGTGAAATATAATTTGAATTTCCTAAATAATTGCATAAACAGGTACTCCTGCATTAAAGATTGTGGTCACAGTTCTGCTAGTTCTAAGAATTTTAATTTTTCAAAAAGTTGTGAAACCAGTACTCTGCTATGTGAAATTAAACTGAAACAAGAGGGCTGCAAACCTCACTGTTTCTGCCAACTGAGCCAGCAAACAGAAGAAAGAAGGTCTGGGAGAATAAGGATTAATGAAACCTGCTGTTGCAAGATTGGATTCCTTGGTAACTGATAAGATACTATCCCTTCAGAAATCCCCCCCAGCTGTGATTTACCTTTCCTCCCATGTAGAGTCACTATGCCTGATATGGGTTAGAGTTTGCATCACAGCCCAGGGGATTTTCATACAGCATTTTTTATTTCCTCAGATTCTCAATTTCATAAACATCAGACTTTTTTCTCTTTCCCTTCCCAGCCCCTTCCTCACAAAAAGTTGTGCTGAAAATTATTTACTTAAGAAATTACAGAGGATGAGAATGGTAGAGTTGTTACCTTGGATTTTAGCCAGTCTATCAAGACATGCCTGTATTGTTAATGAATATTCTATACTGAACATAAGGGGTAGAGTAAGTATCCAAGGAATGCAGAAGGAGAAAAGAAGGGTGCCAAGGAAAGTACAACAAGGCCAAGTGCTTAATTTGCACCAGAACAACTCCATGCAATGCTACAGGCTGGAGGAAAAGTGGCTGGGAAGCTGCTCAGTGGAAAAGGACCAGGAGATGAGTGCCCAGGTGGCCAAGAAGGCCAATGGCCATCCACCCCTCTGTCAGAAACAGTGTGGCCAGCAGGAGCAGGGCAGTCACTGTCACCCTGTACTCAGCACTGGTACAGAGTCTGCACCCAAACCCTGTGCTCAGCTCTGGGTCCCTCACAGCAAGGACACTGAGGTGCTGCAGAGTGTCCAGAGAAGGGCAACAGAGCTGGGGCTGAGTCTGGAGCACAAGTCCTGTGAGGAGTGGCTGAGGGAGCTGGCGGTGCTTAGCCTGGAGAAAAGGAGGCTCAGGGGGGATTTTATCACTCCAAACTGCCTGAAAGGAGGATGTACCCAGGCAGGGGTCTGTGTCTTCTCCCAAGAAATAAGGGACAGGATGAGAGGAAATGGTCTCAACTTGCAACAGGGACAGTTTAGATCGGATATTAGGAATACTTTTTTCACTAAAAGGGTGGTCAGGCATTGGAACAGGCTGTCCAGGGAAGTGGTCAATCACCATCCCTGGAAAAGTTCAAAAGATGTGTAGACATGTCACTTAGGGACATGCCTTAGTGGTGAACACAGTGATGTTTGGTGAATGGTTGGACTTGATCTTAGAGGCCTTTTCCAATCTTAATGATTCTATGATGAGAACATTATAATTTAACAGGTACAGAAAGGATCAGTATTTGTGTTTTCAGAAATTTACCAAAATACTCCTTTAACTCCACAATCCAATTTATGTCAAATTTTCCATTTCCACCCTATATAAAGCAAATGTTGTCCCACAAGTCTCAGAAGATAACAGTCAAATCTCTGTAATTGAAAAAATAAAATCTTTAAAAGTTACTGATGAGTTCACAAATGTAATCCAAATTTGACTGTGTTCTATAATCATTCAGTGAAACCCAGTAATACACAGTGCCACTGCTCTCAGGGGTTTGGGAGGAAAAGTACAGAAATTATACCAGCATGAATTGAAAATCAGTGTCTCTACTGCTTATGGGCTAGAGGTACCCAGGGCTGTTGAACTTAAGTCTGTTTAAGGGACTAGATACCTAAAAGAAGCCCAAGTCAATGTGAAGTACCTGTGCTAATTGGTTTCGTTATTATTTCAAAAGGAAGACAGAACAAGAGCAGACATACATACAGCTTGTCTATGAATTTGGCACATGCTGCTGGCAAGCA